GAGGGGAGTTATGGGGGGGAAAAAAGAGGAACAAATGTAATAATCTGAACAATAAAGATTTAATTAAAAAAAAGAAGAAGATTTTCATTATAGGATGAAGACTACCATCCTTTAATTTGACCTTCTCAATATTCTTTTCTAATTAATCAAGACTTTAAAATGTAAACTGTAATTTAAAATAAATTTTAAAATGTTTTAAATAATTTTTAAAAGGACACTGATTGGTAAAGGAAAATCTATAGAGAAATCTATTTTAGACCTAAACTTCAACTAGAGGAGTATTTTTATCCTTACTCAACTTTCCTCTACAACCCACACAGGTCCTTGGAAGGCAGTGAACAACAGCAAAGTAAACAGGAACTCTGCACTTGTTTATTTCAATTTTTAAAAGTCTATCTCATGGTAAAATCTCTAGGTACAAAAAATACATGTTTAAAAGAAAAAGCTGTCTTCAGAAAAGAATCAAATATTTTAAATGGGCACCAGAGAAAACAGTAAATAGAAACTAATCAGCCAAAAAGGATGTTTTCTAAATCAGATAACACTGACATTTATATATTCTGAAAGCATAATGGTCAAGGTTTGAAAACAAGTCCTGTCTTCTCTAGGTTTTCTCAATGAATTAAACAATGGACAAAAAAAAATATACAGTACACCTGTCTGGGCAATAAAATAAATATGAACTGATAAGTACCACCCATTTAATTAGTGAGTAAAATTAAACTATTAACTCATAAAATTTGAGAAAACATGTAATCGTCTCTCTTTTAGAAATTACTTTTTATTCATCAGTACTTCTTTCTAACAATAAACTATCTCCAAAAATAATTTTTAAACAGACTCTGGACAATATGCTAAATATCTACACTAATAAAAGAGAAAAATGGTAATTGGCGTACGACGCTACCCTTTTCATTGGCTAATCAGGGCTATATGCAAATTAACTGCCAATTAAGATTGGCAGTTAACTGCCAACTAAGATGGGCAGTTAACTGCCAACAAGATGGCAGTTAATTTGCATATGTAGGCACAATGCAGGGAGGCGAAAGG